CAGGCTGTCTACAGAATATTCTTGCCTGAACGTAAAAATCTATTCTACTTCGACAAGTTGAAGGTATTGGAATCGATACTCTAGACCATGGATAATTAAACACAAAGATCTCCTCTAAACACTGACACGTTCAGTTCAAAAAGTCCGCTCAAAAAACCATTTACAAATAGTGTACCCGTGCCATCAAAAATGACGGCAATTGTCAGAAAGTTTTCATAACGAGATGCAATGAAATAAAAGTCTTGGAACAATGTATTGAGATTCAATAAAGCGGAGATAAAAAATTCACAAGTGAAATAGAGGCCAATGCGCCGTTTAATTAATCTGTTCCCTTTATATTTTTTCAGACGTTCAATGGTATATATGATTCATTGATTACGCCTGGTCTTACACACACACACACATATATATTATATATATATATTTATTAAAGACATTTTTATGTTTAACGTTCTTTTTATAGATACAAGTATTTAAGTAAATGCTCTATTTATGATAAACAGTATTAAATAACATTTACCGGCCTGAATGTCGAAAAATTTTCATAGAAAATATTCGTTCTTTGACAGGATTTGCATCCTATACGGAACCGTCATTTACGCTGACGTACCTTATCGATCGGCCACAAAAAATGTTCGGTAGACAAGGTAAATTTACTGCTTATAAACTTCAATCCTCCATGAATTGTTTACATTTGATACGCTCTGGATATCAAATGTAAACAATTAACGTCATTAAGCAAAAAAAAAAATGGATAAAATTGTCGGACGACAATTTATTTATTAATTTGATACATTTTATGTTTAACGTTCTTTTTATAGTTCACCGAAATGACGGTTCCGTAAATGACGGTTCCGATAGGATGCAGGTTCCAATCCTGTCAAAGAACGAAAAATCGACAAGGCCGGTAAATGTTATTTAATACTGTTTATCATAAACAGAGCATTTACTTAAATACTTGTATCTATAAAAGAACGTTAAACATAAAAATGTCTTTAATAAATAAATTGTCGGACTTTGTCCATTTCTTAATATATATATATATATCGCTTAATATCTTTTCATGTTAAAAATTTTGTGTTTAATATAACAGTGATTTGGAAATATTTCACGCGAGTAAAAGATTAGCCACAGAACTACAAAGACAACGAAGACAATTTCAATAAATTTGAATCAAGACGATCACTTAATAGACAGAGGTATCTGAGTGCCTCACAAGAAATGCTTGAACAAATAAGATTGCAATCTAAGAAGCTGAGGAGTAAAGGAACTGGTTAATTAAAAGGTTCACTTAGCTCTGGAAAAATAACTAAATGCGGACAAATGTTTCATTTGTATAGATTATTAAAACGGCTAATGGAAATAATCACTAATAAATTTATTAACTTAAGATGATTTACCCCACCCCCCTACCAATGGGACAAGAAATATATAAATAAATACACATTAGCAATTAGTATATGGTTTGATTATATCAGAGGATATTTTGTGTTGCTTTCAAATGTTATGTGAACTTTCAATTCTTATATGCGATGAGTTAAAAACGAAAGGCCTTTGAAAATGTAATGCACACATTCTTCTTTAGGAATAAGAGAATTTAACCGTATTTGGTAATTTTTAGCAAATTTTCAGGTTTGAATCTTATTTCATGAGTGAAATATATACGCAAAATTTGAAGAACATATTTAAAAAACATTTTTTCTAATGCGTTTACTGTTTTTATTGTTTTTTTTTGTTTTGTTTCTTTTTCATTTTAGCTATTATTATTATTTCTTTGATTACTATTGCATACACATTTCATTCCGGGTCCCAACCAGAGATCTAAGGTCAGAAATGGCTTCATGATATTTTCCACAGATCATTTTTTTTTTTTTTTTTTTTTTTTTTGTAAAAAGAAAACACGAAAAAAGCTAAGATCACACATATTTTTACATAGACAACGCTCTTGGTAATGTGTGAGCTTTACTTTTTTGCATTTCTTTAAGACTTGGGTAACCAGGAATCGCTTCATTGAGTCTATCGGAACCTATTCTAATCAATCCGAGGGCTCCAATTTCAAGTGCATTATTGATGTCCTCATCTGCCACTTTTTTAAAAAAATTTACCCCCTCAAGATCCTTGTATTTTGATAGTTTTTGAGGGTCTTCAAATATGTCTGCATTGACTGTCATGTCAATAAGAAAGCACATTCCGTTTTATGGTCTTTGATCACGATGTCTGAACGATTAGTTTTGATTGTACAGTCTGTGTGTATTATAAAGTCATATAAAATTGTTACATGTCTTAATCTTTGTAACCGGGTCTGGATGATGTTCATACCAGTTTCTTACTGTCTTCTTCACGTTAAAGTCGCATATTTTACAATGCAGATATTTAAAATGTCGAGTTTTATATTCGGTGGATACTAACACCGTGCATCCTTATACAAGACGGTCAATTGTTTCTGGATATTTATCACAGAATCTGCATTTTTGGTCAGCACAATTTTTCAGTATGCGTACCTGGTAATTTCTAGTTAGCAAGCATTGGTCCTGTATAGCAAAAAATAAAATCTTCAATTTCAGCTTTTAACCCTGCACTACGTATTATTATTATTATTATTATTATTATTTCGTTTCCAACCAAAACAAACGGAATGAACGTAACTGTAACCCTTATATTTTGTAAATATATACCATTTTTGTAACGTTGTTGAGAGGTACGTCAAATTATACAGGCGTCCCCAGCAACAGAATTGCTAAGTACGCAGCAGTCGTGATAAATGGGATAAATTTCTGTTACTTTCTCTAAGTTGATGTAAGTAGCATTAAGTTGGGGACGGTGTTGTAAATTCTTTATTTAGGAGAGTACCTTGAGGCAAATTTTAGATTGTTAGTATCTGTTTTCAATTTGGTAATCATTCCTTTTTAAAGGAAACGATCGTTAATGATTTTTCATGTGCGGAAAGAAATAAATTCAAATTTTAGAGTAATTATACAGGAATTTATTTTAAAACAAAAATTATTTGAAATGTTTAAGAGAAGTCAGCTTATTTAAAATTAAGTTGTTTCAGAAATATCTAAACTTAGCTTCATTTTCCAAATATGCTTAATTGTTTAATTATCCGTATCTTGTCATCTATAGGAACTTTCGGTTACAAAAATGTTAAGGAATTTTTCATATATGAGATCAATGAAAAGAGGGTTGCTGCAAAGTTCTTGATTCAACCCACTTCCCAATATCTGACCAAAGGAAAATTCTTCCTTGATTGGACCGAATAATTTTAAGCAGTTTTCGTATAAATGTATAATTAGTTATGCTTAAATGACCAGGATGCCAACACTGGAATAACGAACCTGTTTTCAGCCGTTTTTCAATATTTGGTGTTGTAATCAACGAACAGATCCCAAAAATTCACCGATGAAAAACATCAACATCAAATGTTCGCTTGAAGAACCAACGGCCTATGAAGAAGCGTTTTGAATCAACATTGTGGAAAGCAATATCCTCATGAATATCAAGCATACTTGAAACGACAGAATTAGAAAACAATGTCACCCCGAAATGTCGTATGAATGACATCAACCCACACTGTCAAAAGGGTATTTTAGTCCGATAAGTATGACCATGCTCCAAAATCAAAACCAGTGGACTGGAGAAATAATCTGCAAAAAAAAAAAAAAAAAAAAACAAAAAACAACAGTCTGAGGTAAGTAATAAAACGATTTACAAAGCGTGGCTTAGATTTGACACAATTTTGAAAGTATGGGGTAATGATGATCGAACTCACTACTCAATCATAACTGAGCAAGCCAGACTACCTTGCTAACTATTACAATGTGTCAAAGTGCCCGATGTAGTAACATATTAGGATGTTGGGAAATTATGTTTTACCAGAAAGGATAAAAAAACTAGTGTAAGTCTGATTCATCGAAATATTATTAGGATGTTGGGAAAGTAATTACGTTTTTACAGAAAGGAAAATTGTAAGTTGAATTTATTTTAATAGTATTTTTCAAAAATGTAATCACTTTCACTTTCAGCGAATACAGCCTAACGGGAAAGTAAATTCTCGATCCGCATTTAATGAAATTTACCGAATACACTTTTGAAAGACTCTTTTCAATCATTTTTGGGTTCTGATTGTTCTGCCATTTATAAAATGTTCTAATGTTGGAAAGGAAAATCGGTATATAATAAATCTTGTGTATAGGAAGAATATAGAATAATCGGCCAAAGTTGGAATGATCTTTTTTCTTGCATTTCTTTTGCAGTGTGTGCCATTACATATTCGTGCTGGAGAATAACACCTGTTTAGCAACGCTAGACACTTTCGAAGTTATACTTCATTTATCTGATCAGGTTGCCGAAATACATATCCATAGCGATAGTCTTTCCATGTTCCAAAAGTTCGTAATGATTGATGCCTTTCATATTCCACCAGGGACTTCTGTAAATAGAATCCTGGTTTTAGTATTAGCAGATTTTTCTCTTTTTTTTTTTTTTTTTTTTTTTTTGATAGCCACTTTGCTTTTGTATTTTGTTTTGT